CCACAAGACTGTGCTTAGGACTTGGTGTCTGGCTTCATCCTGCTGCAGACCAGAAGTGGTCCCAAGGGGCGGGGCTCTACGGCCTGGGGTGGGGAGCCCTGAGAAATTCGTGGCCACTGCTTTAGCCACTTGGGGTTTGAGGTTGTCGTCCAATACACTACCCTGTCCCCGCTGACGCAGTCCTGTCTGGAGAAGCAGCGCTTCTGGTATTCTCCCCCTGAACCTAATCTTGGCTTGAGCTGAAATGGGTACTTCCTCCTAGGATAAAATATGTGTTATTTTTTATTAAGAGCCTTTAAAATCAAGACTATATTATATTTCATCAGGGGTTTCCTCAACATAACAATCTTACGATTTGTGCTTCAGGTCTATTACTAGAGTGATTGATTACACTGGCAGGTCATATTACGTTAAACCACCTTGCTGTCCTGAAATGAGCTGCAGCTGGTGGTAATTTACTGTTAGTCTTTCGGTGTGTCACTGGCTTCTCTCGGCCCCCGTTGCTCCCCGGACATCGATGGGACCAGTCTAGCTGTGCTCCACTGCCGCCTCGGTGCTGGGGTGGAGCCCACAGCCTGCACACTGAGCTACAGCCCCGCTTTTCTTTCTGAGACGGGCTTGCTGAGCCCGGCTGGGATCCAGCTTTGAGTCCTCCTGCATCAGCCACCAGGTCTCCGGTTCTGATAAACAGGCCGCACTATGGGTGCAGCCCAAGGGCGAGATGATGTGTGAGAGCACAGTGTCACCGCTCCAGTGCCACAGCCCCTTCCCTGCGTGTCCAGGCCTTTGCTGGGCCCTAGAGAGCTGGTGTACCTAAGTGTGTGTTACCTCAGAGGAGCGTCCAGCCCATCTGGGGCCTCGGAGTTGAGAGGCGCTTAGAGTACCCGGAATGGTGGTGGGGACAGTATGGCTGCCCTGGAGCCAGGGCTGCAGAGGGGACAGGTGTCCAGCTGAGGCCCACCAACCCGGAGCAGGGGCTGGTGGAGCTAGCTGGACAGATGGAGAGCTGAGCAGGGCTGGTGGAGGCTGCACTGGGATGGGATCCATTTCTGGTCGGGGTGATGCTTGCGTTCCCTGCTGAGAAGCGACTAGTTGTTCCAGAGCTGTAAGAGGGCAAGTAGCTCCCTGAAAAACGTTCTCTACCTGAAAACGACTCAGCTCCTCCTCTTGAAGTGAATCATCAGCTGAGTGAGTCGGTAAATCCTTTTTTTTTTTGTGGAACCGGGGATTGAACTTGGGCCCATGTGCTTGCCAGGCAAGTGCTTATGCTACTGAACCATCTCCCCAGGCCCCAGTAAATGCATTAAAAAAAAGGGGGGGGGGCTGGTGAGATGGCTCAGTGGTCTAAAGCACCTACTTAGAACAAGCTTAGCAAATCAGAGGGACCATGATTCAGTCCCCCAGCACCACATGCCAGCCAGCCTCGCCCCCTGGTGGGCTGAGCTGGCCACACACACACACACACACACACACACAAATAAATAAAATTTAAAAAAAAATGTATTTAGTATTTTTTGGGGGTTAGGGACAGAACCCAGGGCCTTGTGCATGCTCAGCACCAAGCCTCAGTCTTCTGTGTCTTTCCGTGCTGAGGTGGAATTCTGTGGCTGATCAGGACCTAATTAGGGTATATTTCCTAAGGTCTACAGAGTCTACAGGGTCTCACTATGTAGACCCGATTCAGACTGGTGGTGAGCCTCCTGTGCTGGGATTACGGGCGCACGCCGCCAAGCCCAGTCTCAATTGCCACCTCAGCGCGCCCCGGGGCCGGCACTGCACACCGGGGATCGGACCCCTGGCCCCTGCGCTCTGCCTAAGTAGGTGCTTTAGGCCTTTGAGCTATCTGGCCAGCCCCAGTGAATGGATTTTAGCTCGGGGTACCAAGCAAGGCATTGAGCTTTCAGGGTGGCTGTGCAAACTCAGAATGTCTGGTGCAGTTTTTAAAAAAAAATTGAAAAATTAAGATAATATAGAAATTATCACTATGAAAATATAACAAAGTAAAAAGAGTCTATACTTTTGGGGGTGAAATTTTATAATAGCTCTGTATCTTAGCTACTTATTACTTGTTGCTGAGACAAATACCCGACGCTCAAAATGAAGGAAGGAAAGGGTTTTTTTTTTTTTTTTTTTGCCAATTTAAATATTTATTGAAGACATTGCATTTCCACTTACAGTACAGTGCTTAAAGTGCAATGCTATGTTTCCCTGTGTACATGTCCCATTATTCAAGTATTGAGAATGCGCAGTACTTTACTATAGCAGCTCAACTTTAACTGCTACAGAATTTGCTACAAATTTAGGTCCTTCAATTTTATTGGTTGTGGAAGAATGCTATATTTTTATTTAAAGTTGGCTTAATCAACCTCTTCAATGATGGGTCCCAAGGAAGCACCACCAGAGGGAGGAGCTCCTCCACCAGGGAAGCCCCAGACATTCCTCCAGGCAGCCACCTGCACTCTGGTAGAGCTTGGTGATGATGGGATTGCAGACTTTCTCCAGCTCCTTCTGCTGATGTTCAAATTCTTCTTTCTCCGCAGTCTGATTCTTATCCAGCCAGTTGATGATCTCATTGCACTTGTCAAGAATCTTTTGTTTATCTT